CTTCCCAGCTGGAAAAGCACATGGAAATCCAGTTGATTTGGGGTCAGAATGCCAAATTCCAGGTGGGATGGACTGGAGGGCTCCTCCCTCCTCAAGCTGCACCTGGGGGACCTTGGTATGAGACAGAGGGAGCTGAGAATTCCCAAAATCCATGGGGAGTCAGTTCTGATTCCTCCCTGGAAGATCCAGAGCTCAGCTCCATCCCTAAATCCCATTCCCAAATTCCATTCCCGAATCCCATTCCCAAATCTTATTCCCAAACCCCATTCCTGAATCCTCTTCCCAAATCCCATTGCTGAATCCCGTTCCCAAATCCCGTTCCTGAATCCCCTATCCAAATGCCATTCCCAAACCCATTCCCAAACCCCATTCCCGAATCCCAAATCCCATTCCCAAATCCCGTTCCCGAATCCTGTTCCCGAATCCCACCCCTAAATCCCATTCCCAAATCCCATTCCCGAATCCCAAATGGGTTTGGGAATGGCATTTGGATAGGGGATTCGGAATCCCATTCCCAAACCCCGTTCCCAAATCCCATTCCCAAACCCCGTTCCCAAATCCCATTCCCAAATCCCACTCCCAAATCCCATTCCCGAATCCCATTCCCAAATCCCACCCCTAAATCCCATTCCCGAATCCCAAATGGGTTTGGGAATGGCATTTGGATAGGGGATTTGGAATCCCATTCCCAAATCCCATTCCTGAATGGTGTTCCCAAACCCCGTTCGCAAATCCCATTCCCAAATCCCACTCCCAAATCCCATTCCCGAATCCCAAATGGGTTTGGGAATGGGATTTGGATAGGGGATTTGGAATCCCGTTCCCAAATCCCATTCCTGAATCCCATTCCCAGATCCCATTCCCGAATCCCACCCCTAAATCCCATTCCCAAACCCCACCCCTAAATCTCATTCCCAAATCCCATTCCCAAATCTCATTCCCAAATCCCATTCCTAAACCCAACCCCTAAATCTCATTCCCAAATCCCATTCCCGAATCCCATTCCCGCAGATCCCTACGCCATCGTGTCCTTCCTGCACCAGAGCCAGAAGACGGTGGTGGAGAAGAACACCCTGAACCCCACCTGGGATCAGACCCTGATCTTCCACGAGATCGAGATTTTTGGGAATTCCCAGGAAGTGGCCGAGTCCCCTCCCAACATCGTGGTGGAAATCTACGACCACGACACCTATGTGAGTCCAGGGCGTGTTCCCAGCGGGAATTGGGCATTCCCRGCCTCGGGAATGTGGTATCCGGCATCTCTGGGTGGTTCAGGCCTCGAGACGGATGCTCTGAAGGGCAAAATTCCCGGAAAAATCCTGTGGTGTCCTCAGGTTCCTGCCGGTGCCACCGGAATTTTGTGTCAGTCATTTAAAGCRRGAAAATKAAAATTTAAATTAAAATTTTCCTCATGGAAAAACGTTGGGATGAGGTTGGGAGGAGTCGCGGAATTACGGAAACGCCCCCTGCTGGTTGCCGTGTCCAAAGGGCCTGGGAATGATGGAATTTTGGGGGATTGGTGGAGAAGTTTGATGAAATGATGGAAGTTTGGCAGGAATTTGAGKTTTTTTCCTGGAAAAACCAGGCTGGAGCCTGTCCTGAGCGCAGGAGGGAATTTGGGTGAAAAGCGCTTGGAAYAGACCTCGAGAAAGGTTCGGGAATATCCCAGGAATCTTTTTTTTTCTCTCTCCTGCTCCTTCCCTGTGGGAAGCAGGAAAGATCCCAAAGATCTTTGGGATCAGATTTGGGATTGATTTGGGCGGGGAATGGGATTTTTAGGAATTGTTGAAGGCTCCGAGTTCCCCCTTTGTAAAACCTGGGATAGGAATTCCACCTCCTAAACCAAAATTCCCAAAAAAGCGCTTTTCCAGCTGTAGGAATTCCGGGGAGGAACTGGAAAACCGGAGCACCAATCCCGATCCCGCGGTTCATCCCTCGCTCCCGATTTTCCGCTGGGGGGGCAGCCGGGGACGGATTTTTCCAGATTTTTCCGGGAAAAGGGACGGGAACGATCCYGATTCCCGCTATTCCTTTTTCCCAGGGTGCGGATGAATTTATGGGGCGCTGCGTCTGCCGGCCCAGCCTGGAGCGCTCGCCCCGGCTCTCCTGGTACCCCGTCACCAAATCCGGCCGCGGCGC